CAGCCCAGACAAATGAGTTCTTTAAGAAATTATTATTATTATTACTGAGAGTAGACCTAGAGAAGCACAAAAGAATAAGCAAACGACACACTGATATATGAGGTCCTGGAAGTGCAACAGCACAATAACATTAAGCTGAAAGGAATAACCACCTTCCAATCTGGAGTAGAAGTAGAAAGGTGGGTTTGAACTAGGGTGGGTCTGAGGAGTCCAGCCTACTTTGGAATATTCAGTCCTATTTGGGCATTTTTGGCTATAACTGAAGTGAACCAGAGGTGCCCAAGTAGAACTGTGGCCCACAACATGAGCAAGGGGACTGCTCCCACCCCCAGCCCAAACCCAGGTGTCACTAAGAACTTATCTTCTGAGCAAATCTTCAGAGCACATCTTTGCTCTCTGCTCTCAGCTCTTACCCGGTGTTTTCTAAAACTGAAGTCTAGAAGTGGCATACACTGCTTCAGAAATGCTTCCACAAAGAGACGTCCATACTGAAGAAAAGAGACACATTGGTGACCTCTAGCTGAGATCTTTCTCCTGAAAGGTCCTGGCATGAGGCAGCATAGCATTACCCAGCCCAAGGGTTTTATCTTCTTATTTTTATATGTAAAAAATAAATTGTGAGGGGTCTAAAAGGTTAATTTGGAGAATGTAGCTTAATGTGAAAACTAAATAGGCCTGCTAACTAAGCCTTAGAATTAGGCAGACTTAACTACCCTAGACACAGCCAGTCGACAGGGGCCTTGCTCAGCTTAAGAATGAGAGAACAGAGGAGCAGAGGGGAACTCTAGCTCCCTGAGGATAACTAACTTCCCAGAGGCAAAAACTGGGTAGATCTGAGGAAGCATATGAGCAATTTACAAATTTCCCAATCAGACAAATCTCTCTCCCTGACTTACCCATCTTCCACACTGCAACACAGTGGCAGATGAGTAGAGAGAGATGCCAGGAGATGAAAAGAATGAGAAGATACCCACTTGGAAGGAAATATCAGAAGTAGGGAAGAAGCTTTCTCCCCATAATATCCCTATTGAATTTGCCATCAAATCTAGCATGAATCCAGGCTATCCCCATGGGATAGGAGTTTGGCAATTATCAGGATATCAGCTCCCACATTCATGAGGCTACCTCACGGGCTTTAAAAAAGGAGGAATCATCCATTCTTCCTTCCCTCTTGTCACTTGGGAAGGAATGACAGGGAGGGTAAGGAGACTACTATTCCTAAACGCAACTGCCCTGAAGCCATTCCTCCTAGTTCTAAAAGTCTGACCCAAAACTTTCAAACTCATAGGAAATTGGCTTCTCTAGTCATCCAATTACTGTGGGAAAATGTATCCAGTGCCTTTCCTAAACTGTTGCCTATTAACACAAATTCTGGAGACACTAGCTTATGGGCAAGGAATTAAGCAATTCATCTCGGCTGAGACTGTCTGTAAAGTGATCCACAGGAATAATAAATATTAAACAGGACCCAATAAGTCTCTCACCTTTAAACAGGCATGCAGAACAGGATGACTATCAAAGACCTGGAGAGGTAAAAGACAAGAAACCAAAGCTGAGGTCTGTTCCTTTGAGCACCCCATCCTCTTTTCTGCAGTGTAAAGAGCAGCTCTGGCTGCTATAGAGAATTCTAAATTGAGGAAGGCATGTCAACAGTTAAATTAACTATAAAGCACAATAAAGTAACCACCATAAATGAAGTTCAAGAAAAGGAAAAAATAAATAAATAAATAAATAAATAAAAAGGAGCAAAGAGGAACAAGAAATTGATTCCAACTGGGGATGGTGAGAAGATGGCATTAGTAGAGGTCCAAAACCTTGACTTGAAGCCTTAAGAAAAACTGAACAAAGAGGTAGAAAGGAAAGAGAATGACATTCTATTCTGGGGGAACAGTCTGAGCAAAATCAAAGAGTAGGTGAGAGCACAGAGTATGTCTGAAGGTTAATGAAGGCATTCAGGGTCAGAAGAGGGAGTGTGCTTAGATCACAGAGGACCCAAGGCAAGATGACAGAAAGTGGGGGAATGACAGGTGGAGGGTGCCGTTAAATAGTAAGCATTGTGGCACAGGTAGGAGGAAGAAAGAGAAGGAGAAATATACTGCCAGGGAGAGAAGGAGTTATCCAGGATGAGTATGAGGACAAGGGAAGTAGACGGGGGGAGAGCAAGCCCCAAGGAAGGGTAGGCAGAGGAGAAAGGAGAGCCAATTTTGGAAGCTAAGACCCTTGGTTTCTGTAGTTAGCCAGTGAGATGAGTCAAGGAGTCTCAATACTCACCTTTATCAGGTTGATGAGAATACTGAAGTCTCGAACAGCCATGTTCCAGTAGAGGAGCTTCTCTTCATGAATCTGTGGGCAGCCCAATATATAGGTGCCTCTAAATCAGACAAATACTTCTCCTACCGTACTCCCACTAATACACAGTTCTTCAATTATATAGCTATTCAGAGATTCAAGCCAATTGTCCTTCCAAAAAGATGTGGCAACCAGCACACCCTAGATGGTTCTGAGGCCTGCACATACTGTGATAACATAACAGTACCTGATAGACACTTTCCAAAAAGATGAGTCATCTTCGGTAATTTCCAAGTAGGTGAAAGCCTCTGCAACATACCTAGTGACCATCAGATCTCTGTGGCTTCTCTGATTTCCTATGCTAGCCCTTGTTCTCAGCAGTCAAGGTCAGTTCTGGTTAGCAGGTTGCCAAGGCCCACAGGATCTCAAACAGGCTGGTTTACCTCATGCCAGCTGGCAAGTGGCAAACTGGGCATTAGCCACAGAAAAGAGAACCCTATCCTCACTTCCAACTACAGTGAAAGGAAATTAAGCCAGGAGCTCTTTGAAGAAAATCCTAAATCTTGGTAACTCAAAGGAAATAGCTTAAAAGAGAAACCCTGGAATCAAGAAACAGAAGAATCAGCAACTTCCAAGTAGTCGAGTCCACTTCTCACGATGGGAGTATCTGACCCACCTGCTGCGAGTCTGCTGCTGTGCCAGCCTGAAGACCTTTCACTGTCTTCTCCAGTTCAGCCATCATCACACGGAAGAAAATGACAAAGGTGTGCCTAGAAGAGGGAAAAAGCATGCACACCCACACAATCATGGACAGCTTAGAAAGAACTTCCTGGGAAAAAGCCATGGAACAAACAGTAATTACCTTCCCCACTCCTCTGAATGTCCTTTCACTATGGTCCCCCACTGTAGGAAGATGGGGGATTAGAAAGAATTCAGAAAGAAGCCCAAGAAGATGGCCTGTGAAACAATGGAATTAACTTTATAAAAGGAGGTGTCATGGTATTATGAAAAGAGTAGTGAAATAGTGGTGAGAAGATCTGAGTTTGAGTCCTATTTATTTCATTGCCTGAGTAAGCTTGAGAAGTTCCCTCTGTAACTCTCATTTTCCTCCACAGTAAAGCGGGATAATGATATCTACCGCACAGAATTATCAAAAGGATCCAATGAAACAAAGAATGTGAAAGTGCTTCAAAAACTATAAAGACTACAAGTGCAAGATAACTGTTGATACACAAACTGTTGAGACACAAACTCATTAAGTGAGAGATACACGATCAGACACAACAATCACCTTGTCCTTCTGAAGGTGATTAAAATATTGGAAAAAGTCTCAAGTTTAAAGGATGAAAGGACAGGAGAAGTTTGGTGACCAAAAGTTCATTGCCTCTGAGGATTGCAAATGCTGCAAATTCATTCCTCAACAATGTCCTTTCACATATATTGGCTGAGAGTCCCTTGGAAGGAATGCATGGTAGAAACTTTGTGTTGAATGAATGACTGTACCTACTATCTATATCAGAATTAGATGGAATAAGGTATTTGGAAACTACATATGCTGAACAGTATGATTCTACCTTAGGGAAAGAAGTGGAGGCAAGAACTCCCTTACCTGGTCAGTGTAGGAAACATGGAAGAAGATGCATCTTTAGGAGAGTTGATCAGCTCTGGGACTGCAACACCGGCAATTTCCTCTATGGCCTTCAGAACACTGTCTGTGTGCTGCAGGTATATACTGCATTGAGAGTCACAGTATCAACACATGTTACAGAATTCCTAAGTTAAGATTTCTTTCTTGAGATGTTATCAGGTGTTAAGCTTTAAAACAATTACTGGCATTTATTTTCAACAACAAAGATTTCAGATATTTGTCAGGAGGTAAGGCAAATGAAATCTCAGTTAGAAATATAGTTAAACACCTTGAAGTGATAGATGTGTCCTGGATATGGTAGGCAATAAATATTTGACCCATTAATTAACAAGGTAGGATACAACTGCAGACTCCTCCACTTCTTTTTTTTTTTTTTTCTTTTTGTCTTTTTTCGTGTCCGGCAACGGATCGCAACCCTCAGTGTCGCGCCCGTACCGGACCGGACCGGCAACGGGATCGCAACCCTCGGTGTCGCACCCGCACCTCGCTCAGCCAGTGAGCGGGAACCGGTCTGTATGTGGGATCCGAACCCTCAGCGGGAGCGCCGCTGCACTCCCAAGCGGCGCACTGTAGCAGTGCGCCACCGGGCTGGCCCCGAGACTCTTCCACTTCTATGATTTAACAATAAGAAATTAGCTGACTGTGTAAAACAGAACAGAGGATCTTAAAATCCACATATTCCAAATTGTCTTCATTTTAAACCTACTTCATTACTTTTAAGTTCCCCTTAACAAAGGTCATTTCTTAGTCTCTGACCAGAAGGATTCCAACAGTAGAAAAATGGAAAAAGCCTATTTGGTGTGTTAGAAGAAACCAAACATCTCACCAGAGCAAAGCATGAAGCTGGTCATTAAAGATGTTGCTCTTCTCTTTCTCCCCTCTTGGCCACACCCGACAGAGGAACCGTCTGGCCAAGGAAGCTGTTGGAAACAAGACAAAGGCACCTCATGTATGGGATACTGACTTCATTCTTGTCTTTTAGGCTTTTCGGGATGATTATTGATGAAAAGGATTATTATTTTAAATTTACTAAGAAGTTCCTGGTCTAACAGGGAATTTTTTTTTTCCTTTTTGTCTTTTTTACTGACGGTAACGGGATCGCAACCCTCAGTGTTGCGCCCGCTCCGCGCTCAGCCAGTGAGCGGGAACCGGTCTCCACATGGGATCCAAACCCTTGGCAGGAGTGCCACCGGCCGGCCCATAACAGGGAATTTTTAAAAAGCTCATGTTCCTGCTCCACTGGCTCTTCTGCCAGAAATAAACCCATTTCTCTGTCTAAGACCCAACACATCCCACTTCCTCACCCCATCTTGAAACACACCAACATGAACATACGCAGACATGAAAAGAGAAAAGGAATGCTGCTGGGCAGTAGGAAAGCCAATCTTGTTCCTTCTGGGCAGGCCAATAGCAGTGGCCACTTCACAGATTCAGATCAAACCCCCCCTTTTAATCAACAGAGAATAATTAAGGTTTGTTTTGCATTTTCATCTTGCTTTCTGTTTGTGCTGCCAACTAAGATGTATAATCAGTGAGTTACATTCCAAGAGTAATGACAAAAGATAGAGAAAAAGGGAAGGAGGCAGTACTTCCTTTACTCTTGATCCTGATTTCTCCTTTTTCTCCAACTTTATTAACATTATCTTATTTCTTTTTTTTTTCTTTAAAGATGACCAGTAAGGGGATCCCAATCCCTGACTTGGGGTTGTCAGCACCATGCTCTCCCAAGTGAACCAACCGACCACCCCTATATAGGGATCCGAACCTGCGGCCCTGGTGCCATCAGCACCACATTCTCCCAAGTGAGCCACGGGCTGGCCCTACATTGTTTTATTTCTTATTGCCAAATGTTTCAGATAATTAAAAATAAATAAATAAAAAGGAAGAACATGATTAAATTTAAGCAAAACAAAGAACTGTCTACCTAGCTGATCTAACCAAATTCAGACTAAGCAATGTCAGCAGAAATCAGTCATAGTTCCTTCTAGGAAAATGTCCTTGTTGGAATAGCAAGAGGGCATGCCTAAGGCTTATGTGGGGATTTACATGTAAAAATGTACAAGGTCCTGGGAAGCCCCAAGTTTACAAGTGTGAGATATTAATCCTATTCACGGAGAAAAAAAAAAGAGGATCTGGGCCCATCACCAATTTTTTCTCTGTTTTGAGTTGGAGCTGTAGATTTCTCCCAGATGACAATCAAAAGTCTGATGAGATAAAGAGCACACTGGAAACTGGGAATGCTGTGATGGAAATTCTGCAAGTAATGGAAGCTCTGGCTGTATTGAGAGATGAAAACAAATACATACACACAATAACATTACATATATTATAGATATGTTTAAATCCACACAAGATACCCAAGTCCCCTTCAAGTGTTTGATTGCATAATTAGAATCCTCCTCATTTTCAGGTGCTTTAGTAGCAACCTTCTTTCAAGCATCTCCATGGAAGACTATATCTTTGTATGGAGAAGGCCAGGGCAGCAGAGTGCCATTGATGAAATGCTGGCCTTGAAGGGGTCACACATGCCAAGAAACCCAAGTACCATGCTAATATGTGCAACCCTGGATAAATTATTCACTCTTTAAAGCCTTAGGCAATATACTGAAAATAATGTTTAAAATCTAGGGTCATAGAGACAATGTGAAAGGAAATTATAATATAAGGCAGAGAAGCAGAGCTTTTAATAAATAAATGTCTCATATGTGGATAGCTTTCAATGCACTGAAGTAATGGGAGATGAAGAATCACAATTAACCCAAAATTGTAGTTAAAATAAAACTAGCATCAACTCCTGATTGACTGGTGAGAAGGAGATCAAACAGACTAAAAGTGCTGTATTTAAAATGAAATAACATCCTGCCAGCAGGCAGGGATGACAAGCACTGACTGCTGATCCAGTGACAGCCTCACCTATCAAAGAGGACAAGAGAAAGACCCTAGTCACTCTGTTTGAAGCTGGGGTGGAAGGCTGGGAGCCACGCCCCTTACATCACCTTCTCACCTTCCTCTTCCACTGCCTAGCCTTCAGTCACATATGGTCTTCCTCCAAGACTGGGGGAAGAAGACAGGCAATCAGTGATAACCAGCTGCTGCTTAATTATGCAGCTCTGCTAAGAGACAGAGTGGGTCCCTGGATAGTTAACAGTTGACTACAGAACACATCATTGTTACCCGAAAAGGCAGACTTTATGGGCTGATGTATGCATGAAGATTTAACCTGATTTGTTCAAGGGTTTCTAATGCTTCAAGATTTATCAGAATACATAGGTGAGAAAGTTCATACACTGAGGAAAAGTAACTGAAAATTTCAATTTCCTTCACAACTATTGAGAGACACTCAAGTTATTTCAAAGAAATCTTCCCAATCCTGTTCCTAGGAGTTTCTTGGGACAACACTCTGGGACATACCTGAGCAGTTCATTCAAGGACTGGTTACGTTGTCCCTCCTTCAGTCGGTTACTGAGGACCTCAAGGGCTGAGTACAGTAAATTACAATTTTCAGGTTGAAAAAATCCATTCCTAAGGGAAAGTCAAAGTAAGATAGTTTAGCTTAGTTTTAGGATGATTACTTGGATGGCATTTGAGAATACTGGCCTCTGGTCTGTATCATTTGGAGTTCGAAAAAAAGAAGAATTGAAAGTAGTCAAGTGCCAAATTCAGTCACAGTCCTAAGTATCAGATAAGAAGTTGAAGTGCGCCCAAAATAGTCTTTCCTAAGGACCTCACAGGTTTATTTTCAAGGGAAAAAGCTCTCCTTCACTGCCCACATTTTAGAGATATCTCAGTCTTTCTAAAAACACAGGAATGATTTTTGTCAAATCACTAAATCCATATAGTAGGTGCTTGATAAAGAAATTATCCCTTCTTCTACATTAATAAGTCAAGTCTTGACAATCCATCTTAAGATTATTTTTCATACTGTCCCTTCCTTTCCAAGCCCTGACCGTCACTCTAGGCCAGACCCTTAACATCATATGAGTAGATTACAGTGACACCTTTTAATTGGTCTTTTTGCATCTCCTTCCAATCTGTCCTGCACTCTGCTGCCAAAAAGATTTTCCTAAAACATTACTTTCATTATATCATGGCTGTGATCATAAAATTCTAAAATTGCTTCCCTGAACATTTAAATTCTTCTGTCTGACCTTCAAAGCCAAGCACAATCTGCCTCCCTAAACATTATTCTCCTCTAGAAATATTTTCTTTTTTCTTTTTTATTTTTTTTAAAAGATGACCGGTAAGGGGATCTTAACCCTTGACTTGGTGTTGTCAGCACCACGCTCAGCCAGTGAGCGAACCGGCCATCCCTATGTGGGATCCGAACCCGGGGCCTTGGTGTTATCAGCACCGCACTCTCCCGAGTGAGCCACGGGCCGGCCCTAGAAATATTTTCCAAAACACCAGTTGTAGTCATCCCTCCTTTCAACAAAAGTATTCTGAGGGCCTATTAGGTATCAGGTTACACCCACCCACACACGGTTTTTTAAAGGTATAATTGATGTATAATAAACTGCATGTATTTAAAATATTGAATTTAATCAGTTTTAACTTACAAATCCATGAGATCATCACCAAAATTACCTCCTGGAAGTTTCTTTGTACTCCACCTTCCATCCAATGCTAGGCAACCACTGATCTCTTTTCCATCACTACAATATTATATGCTTTTTCTAGAATTTTATATATATGGAATCAAATACTATGTACTCTTATGGTCTTGCTTCTTATTCAGCATAATTCTTTTTTCATGTTGTTGCATGTAGTATTCTATTATACGAATATATCACAATTTGTTCATATATTCTTCAGCTGATAGACATTTGAGTTGTTTCCAGTTTGGGGTTATTACAAATAAAACTGCTATAAAACATTCACATACAGGACTTTGTGTGGATATACGCTTTTATTTCTCTAGGGTAAATACCTAAAGATGAAATGGCTGGGTCATATGGTAGATGTATGTCTAACTTTTTGATAAACTATCAAACTGTTTTCCAAAGTGGTTGTATTATTTTACAGTTCCACTAAAAGCATGTGAGAGTTCTAGTGGCTCCACATTCTCACCAACACTTAGCATGTTAAGTCCCCATGCTAGTGGGTGTGTTGTGCTGCTACCTCATTGTGCTTTTAATTCATATTTCCATGTCAACTAATAATGACCATCATTTCATGTGTTTATTTGCCATCTATAAATCTCCTTCATGAACTGTCTGTTCAAATCTTTTGTCAGGCATTGCTTTTAAGTACTGAGAATACAAAAATGACTGATGTCTGTCCTCATGGAGCTCACAGTCTAGTAGGGAAGACAGATGAACAAGTAATTATAATAAAAGATGATAAGTTTTATCATAAGAGGATACCAGAGTGCTAGGAGAGAACTAGGGGTCAGGGAGGCAGGAAGGAGGCTTACCTGGCCTAGAGGTCAGAGAAGTTGCCTCTGAGGAAGTGAAGTTTAAGTCCAGATCTGAAGAGATTAGATGAGCCAGAAGAGGCTGGGGATCAAGAAGGTGGGAGTCTTGGTATGAGTATGTGAAGCCTTCCAGGTGAAAACTATATAAGGGTCCTGAAATTAATTCAGTATGGCTGGAGGCAGAGTTTAAGACAGTAAGTGGAATAGGAGTCAGACAGTAGAAGGCCTTAAAAGCCAGACAAAAGACTTTGAAGTAAAGAAAAATATAAACAGCAATTGGAGACCAAAATGTGGATAGGATCATACTGGGTCTGTGTTGGGAAGATCACTCTGACTTCTGTGTGAAGAATGGACTGAGGGAGGACAACTGGAGGTGGAGAGACCAACTGTGAAACTGATCTAGTCCAAGTGAGAGGTGATGGGAGTCTAGAAGCAGGGGAGAGAGACAGATGGATACCTAGATATGATCTAGATGATAAAATCAACAGGATTTGGCAATCAGGTGTGGGAGAGAGAAAGGGTAGAGAACAGAAGGAGGGACAAAGAATAACTCCTGGTTTCTGGCTCAGACAACTAGTGGTGTCATTTACTGAGCCAGGCAAAGCTGAGGGAGCAGTGGGAAGGATGATACACTCTTTTTTGGATGTGATGAGTGTGAGGTGTCAATGACACATGTAAGGGGGTGTTGAGTAGGCAGTTAGATATAAATGCCTATAGCTCAGGAGATAAATTTTAGCATAAATTTAAGCTTAGGTAAGATTACCCAGAAAACTTGTATAATGGGAACGGGGGGACCAGGGCCTAACCTTGAGGAACAAAAGTATTTAAGGGACACATCTCCCTCAATTCTACTTTCGACCATGATGTACTTTCCAACTTCTTTACCTCCCTAAATGCCAGCTCCCTTTCAATGACCCAATGAAATCCACTGCTTCCATGAAAAGCTGTGTTCAGCTCTTTGTCACATAATATGGAATTTATTTACAACTTATTTAATAACAATTTCTTAGGGCCAGCCTGTGGCTCACTTGGGAGAGTGTGGTGCTGATAACACCAAGGCCATGGGTTTGGATTCCTATATAGGGATGGCCGGTTAGCTCACTTGGGAGAGCGTGGTGCTGACAACACCAAGTCAAGGGTTAAGATCCCCTTACCGGTCATCTTTAAAATAAATAAACAAATAAATAAAAATAATAATTTCTTAAGTAACAGTCTCTCGTGTTATTATAGAAGGCTTGCTACAGCAAACAGGCTAAGAATCACATGGCCAGATTTGTTAAAGATTAGCTAATTAGCAAGTTACCTAATTTATCAAATAGGTTAACAATAATGGCTCCATAAGACTTGAAGGGTATAGGATCGAATGAAATGATACAAACAAAAACACTCCAAAAAGAGTAAAGCACCATATTTACATAAGACTTTTGGGCTTTTCTTTTCCATATCTCAGTGCCTTGGTGACTGATCACCAAGTAAAAGCAAGTATATACTCACTTCTCTCTACTACCATACTTTGCACAACTTACCAAGCAAAAAGCCCATGAAAGATCTGCAGTAGCCTCTGACAGCAAGAAGATATTATGTGGTACTCTTGAACTTTGACTGCTGGTCCATCAACTACACCATGATTCTCAGCAGCTAAACACTAAAAAGGAAAATAATTTTAGGATAGTTGCTTCAGCAATTGCCCTCTTTTCACAGCCAAAAATGAAATCTCATGTTCACTTAGTGATTTCTAAGTCTC